CCTCCATATTGTTGGTGTGCAGCTCTATGTCTGGGAAGAGAGCTGTCTCTACCCACGTATGTCCTGTATATTCATCTAAGTTGGAGTTCAACTTTATGAGTTGTAAGTACAGATAATAAAGTGAGGTCACTTCACACTGCTTCTAATGTCTGTCTATACTGCCTACACTGCCTAAAACCCATCACTCACTGGCCATGTATGGTGTTAGAATCAATCCAGTGTGAACAACGCAGGGGTTTCCTCATCATCTCTGTCGCACCTTGTTACACAGAAAGTATCTGATACACTTTCTTCTGTTGTGCCACTTGCTCTTACCTTCCAAGGTCTTGCTAATCTTCATACACAAAGATTTCCTCTGAGGATCTGTGCCCTAGGGATCCTGCTCTCTCCAGAGAGAAAAGGGGGGGAGGAATGTAAAAAAGCACCCCCTAGAAGAATTGTCATGTCACCGTTTCTCCTCTGTCTTTCCTATCACAGGTAGGAATCCATATGTGTGAATGTCATGTTGGAGCCTCAGGATTGTGGATTCAAACTAGGCACTAAATTCTCAAGCATTCAGCCAAATTGTGGTCATGTAATCAGTTGGATGTATTTGGGGTTCGGATTGCCATAGTTTCTTCACTCTGAATTACAGTCCCTCTCCTCCCAGCTGACTAGTCCTCAAAAGCAATCATCTAAGGGTGAGAACATGAAGACCACTGTCTTGCCTGGGCTAGGACTTTCTCTAATGAGGTGACCTGACCATTTATAAATGACCCAAAATCTAGTGTTTCATGAGCACCAAAGACAAGTTGGGTTGACCCTTGGCAAAAGTCATGATGGGATGATTGAACAAATGTTGGGTGTGCATGGGACCCTTGGTAAGCATGAGATCCACAGTGGCCTCTGTAACAGTAGGCCAGGGATGGGACCAGCAGTTAGCATAATGGCCATGTCACTGGACTCCCATGTAATAGACCGTGGTTCGAGTCCCAGACCCGGTGGCTTAAACTCACGCCGGGCACATGTGTATGCGTGCCCAAGATCCAGAGTGGAGAATGGAGGAGAAGGGATTGCAGTGTGTCCATCCCCCGTGGTGGGGGGTGATTTCTCACTTTCTTTCTGTTTCTCTCTGCCTGTCTGGTGAGTGCATGCACCCTATAGCAAAAAAACCTCTCGAAAAAAAAGAAAAAAGTAGGCCAGGGCTCTTGAAATCAGTGAGATGCAGGGTATTGCAAACACACTGATGAACCATTCTCCAGATTTGGGGGTCCAGCATGCATACACTTACTTTTCTTCAGAAATTCACAACATTCCTTTACTTTGCCATATTTTTACCTGTCAGGACAAATGTGCCCACATTCATTTTTCTGCTGGGCTTGAGCCCCTGATGTTAATACCCTGATATTGTCTTTCACAGACAACAACCAGGACAGTGAAGGCCACAAGAAGACTCAGGTCAACTCCAGAGCCCAGATTCAAGGGCCACTAAAAGAGGTTGAAGAGCTGAAGGTGAAACTGAAGCAGCTTCAAGAACATTTCTCTGAGACTGAAAAAAGATCACCCAGTTAAAGGAATATTATTGACTGCAAGAAAGAATTTATCAGGTGAGAGAGGGTCATCTGTTACACAAGGTAGCTTCAGTCTCACAAGAGAACTAGGAATGTTGGCAATATAGACAATGCCTTTGCCTGAAAACCTGTATTTCCTCTGCTGCTCCTCATTCATAGGTGTTCATGAACAGCATGAAGGGCTCCTTTGCAAATGGAATAACTTTTGTTTCCAAAGAAGAAAGAATGAAATCTTCCTATTAATTTCTCTAGTTGAGACACCACAGTGACTCCAGTACTTGTTTTCATTTTTTTTACCCTTACCATTCTAATAGGACAAATGAGCTAAACAGACAAATTTCTAAGAAAGACCAATGAATGACCAAAAGATATATGAAAAAATGTTCACTGTTTTTTATCCTGAGGGAAACGTAAATAAAAAAGACTATGACATAACATTTAAGCTCAGTGTTGCTAATGTTTATACTCAAACAATGTTTTTTTAAGAAACTGGGGCCATCGTCTTTAGGTGGTTTTCTTGCCATTGGTTTAGATTTTGTTTATAGTTTATTTTTTTCCTATGTGATTTTCAGAGAGAAAGAGAGAGGAAGTGAGAAAGACATTAAGAATGTACCATGTATGGAAACTGGCAATGCTGAAGTCCTTCTCTTCCCTTTATTTCTCAGGAGTTTTCAGCAAACACGTATATGCACAAGGAGTGATATTCAAGCTCTTGTGCTAGTGATCTTTGTAGATGGCCATAAGGAATGCAGCCACCTTACCCACCCTGTCCCCAGCTGTCCCTGTTTCTGAAGATGTCATTACTATGGTTCCTCTGCTCTGAGCTCCAGTCCCTTTCCTGCTAATTGGCTTGTCCTCATAAGCAGTCATCGGAGAGTGAGAACATAAAATCCACTGTTATTGCATGTGCTCTAATGTCCCTGGGAGACAAGGTATGATTCTGGCAATTCCAATCTCCCTAAACATACCAGGATGTAGTGTTCTGGGAAGCATCAAGGATATATTGGGCGATAACTGAAAAACTTCATGATTGTTAGACTGAACATGTGGTGTTCAAACTGCTGAGCACAAGAAACCAGAATGGCCTCTGTAAGAGTAGGGCTTGCCATCTTAAATCAGGCTTTTCAAGGGCATTTGAAAGAGAAATGCAACAGGCAGCACAACATCTGGAAGAAGGAGGTGACACTGAGTTTCTTCAAGTATCCAGGATCTTTCTTCCATTTCCTTTAGTTGTGTTTGTTACAACAGATGTGCTTAGGCTCTCCTTCATGGTGGGTTTTGAGACTATGACAAAAATACTTTTTTAAAACTAGTCAACAGAGCACACTGTGAAACTGAATGCTTCTGCAAGACTCAGATGTATGCCAGAACTTATCCTGAAAGTACAGTAAAAGATGTAGAACATGAAAAGGCAGGCCAGAGTAAGCTAACACAACAATTTGAAGAGTTTTGAAGAAGACTTCTCTGTTAAAGGAGATGAGTACAGCCCATCAGAAAGAATTTTCCAGGTAAGAGAGGGTGTGCTGCTAGACAAGGTGGTCTCCTATTCAGATAAGAAAAAGGGATGTTGGCAAGATAGTGAATATATTTGCCCATAAACCCTTTTCCCCTCCACTGTTCCTGATTAGCAGGGTGATAGAAAATAAAAGAAGGGTTTCTCTGGGAAATGTCTTTTTCATTGCAAAGTAAAGAAATACAAATCATCCTATGAATTTCTCAAGAGTAGGAACAAAAGCCAGTCTCATGGTCTTCATATACTCTAGGAATTGCCATGTTCCATGGAGTGGACAGACCCAAGGGAGAAACTTCTACTTCTGCAAGATTCCTTGGTTATTTGTTTGTTTGTTTCTTGGAGGGATTTTGGCTATAGGGAATGCACACTCACCAGAAAGACAGCGAGTGTGTAGTGAAGTACAGGAGATAGCGTAGATTCATGTTTGGCAAAACTCAGGATTACTGAACAAATGGTATGTGAGTATGTGGAAGATGGTGAGAGTGAGAAACTAGAATGTTCTCCCTAGGAACAGGGCCAGCTATCCTAAGTCAGTGGGATGGAAGACATTACAAAGACAGAAATGCAATGTTCCTCAGGGAGGAATGTGAGCTCACTCTCACCTTACCACCAATACAGGGTCTTGTTTCCCTTTGCTTTCAGTCCTGTTTGTTAGGACAGACGTGATTGGGCACATCTTCCTGTTACTTATGCCCCCTGATATATGTACTCCCATGTTCTTTTTCTCAGAGCACTCTCCACCAGTCAACTGCCTGATGAACATTGTGGCATTCTCCAAATCCCAGCTCTAAAACCTGGAAAAGAAGGTGAAATCTCAGAAGGTGGAATGTCAGCAGCTCTCTACAAACCTCCAAGGGACACAGAGAAAGCTCTCACATTTCTACAGTTTATGTGCATCACTCAAGGAAGAACTTGCAGGTAAGAAGAGTGCAGTGATGGGAAAGATGGCCTGTTTTCCATAAGAAGATGCATATTGAATAGACACTGGGCTTGAAGAGCCCACCCTCTGTACTAGTCATCAGCAGATATGTTTTCATCAGTTTTGAAGAAATAGCATTAATTCAGGCCTCCTTCACTCATAAAGACTGAAGACAGAAGGTCCCCACTCTTCCAACTAGATACAGGACCATTTGCGTTAGTGCAGATTAGGAAAGTACTGCACCTGTGATAATGTCATCCCCAGCACAGCCCTGTAGCAGCCTGTCCACATGGAGAACAGTGGAGCAGCAGTGGGAAGGCTGTGCAGGGGGTCTGCTCTGCTTTGAGCTAATGTGGCTAATGGGATGATTTCAGCAGAGATAAAGGTATTTTATCTCTCCTGGTCTTCCCCTTCTCAGAAATTTAAGAGAAAGATATAGGGTTTGGCTTCTCCTTCCAGGATTCTCAGGTACAGTCCATATGCCTTAAAGTCAATTTTAGATCTATGATTCCACCATATCCTCATCAGTAAAATGGAGAAGTTAAGTTGGATTTGTTCCATGGACTCTGCTTATTTTCACATTCTAGTGTTTTCCCATAGCCCACCATACCTCCTTTAAGGACTGGGACAGAAACTGTGCTTCTCTGCCATGGGCCCTGTCCTTCCTGCAGAGGTCTGTTCCAGAATGTGCAAGATCAATTTCAAGCACATCCCTCACTGGGAGGTGTGCAAAGCCATGACTTTGCTCCACACAAGGAGATCAGGAGAAAAGTGCATGATGTCACCAGGTCCTGTTTGGAGAGGAGAAGGGTCCAGGTATCTTGAACCACAAGCTGACCTATCAGCTCAGGGAATGTTTTCTTTTATCTTGTGAATATTCCTTTCTCCTTCAGCCAGCCTGAGGCTCACCTTTCAGCTCAGTCCCTTCACAAGAGCTGAATTTTCCCTGGCTTCTATCACCCCTTAGCCATACTCCAGGCTCAGCAAGTGGTGGCACCTGACAGGACCCTCTTTGCATTCTCCCTCCCTCCCTCAGATACCAAGTGCACTGGAACTAAGGAATCATACTCGAGATTTGAATCAACTGTATCAAAAATAGAAGTTCAATTTGGTGAAAAAATATAAAGCAGTACAACGCAGTAAAGTCCAAACAGAACACAGCAGGGATTCTTCAGAGAGAACTCAATTCCAAAAGTATGAACTATTTTTAACAGCTCTTTATCCAAAGGGATAATTAGATTGGAAAAAAAAACTGTAGTCTTTTAGTCTTCAGGTATGAGAAGTATAAAAGGAGACCAATTCCCACATGCATCATGTTGCCGGACCCAATCCCTGTTTCTGTCAATGCCATTCTTGTGGAGAAGTGAGTGAGGCCAGGAGCATCTGGAAGAAGGTGGCAGGTTAAAACGGATATTTTCTGACTCCAGATGGGGTGTGCCAGGAGCAGGCTTAATAGACAATGCAATGTTCCGGCTGACAATGGTCAGATGGAACTAAATCAGGAAGTAATGATCAGACAACTGCAGAACACAGTTAATGATCAGACAACTGCAGAACACAGTCCACTGAATAAGACAGCTGACCTGTCTTCTTGAAACACGCAATGGCACCACAGATAGGACTGCAACGATGAGAAAACTGTGTTGCTCCACTTCTTCAGTTCTTTGAACCAAAAGTCTTCCTTCACATTTTGCCACTGTTGTTGATGCTGATGGCACTGGTGCATTGGTACAGGACAGTTCAGCTGTCTCATTCTGTGATCTGTATGGTGTGTTGTCTGATAATTCCCTCAGAGTTGAACTTGGCCTAAACATTTAGCCAAAACACTAACTATTGGGTCATTGGAAAAGTAAAGAAGCATTTTTGCAAAGAAAAATAGTTCATGACTTTTCCGATGACCCAACAGTTAGTGCTATCTGCTTGCTAACACAGCCCATCTGCGGGGAGACAATTTCCAGTTTCCCCATCACTGGAGGTTTCTAGTTTCTCCATTAATGGTCATTATCATGACCTTAGGACTTGTGGGCTTAGCTAAAGAGGGGTCCACTAAGTCTCTTTCCTTCATCATTCATAAGCTAGTTGGCGATTCATAATTCGAGTATACAAAAAATCCTGTTCTATCATGCTCTTTTTTTAAACATATTGCCAACCATTAGCCAATCCATGCTGCGTTGATTATTATTTGATTTGTGTTTTCATATTGGAAATTATCTACTTTACTTCTTCCTATGTACTTGTATTGCTGACATTCTCCTACAAATAAGAAATCCCCTCCAAATATATGTTTTACTCTGAAGTTAACTTTAATTTGTGTTACTAAAACTTGCTTTGCCAATCACTCTGGACTGATGCACATTTTTAAATTTGTGTCATAATCTTTAGCCATCTGATGGGTTTGGCTAGGTAAGAATATAAATTAACATAAATATTTTTACTTAACTCATTTACATTCTAAGTTCTTCCACGTGTTAACCATCTCTTTATTTTACATAATACGATCTATGTACTGTAGTTCTCCATTTCATTTGTTTTCTTAATGGAAGTGTGAGATTTATGTCTGGAAATTTTGTCTGGAAAAGCTATGTAGCATATATTAACATTACACTGAAAACCTGTTTTGACACTTTTGGTCCCATTTTAAAGCTATCACTATGTGGTTTTAAAAGATCAAATAGAGATGTCAAGCTTCCTGAGGTGGCAGGACTTAAGAGCCAGACCATGGATCAACCCCTCCTCTTCTCTCATCTGGACTTCAGGTTTGTTTCTTGGAAGTTTGAGACAAACTTGAGCTCCTGTTCACCCCATCCAGACTGCAGTTCAAGAAAATGGCCTTGTCGAATAATAAACTGATTGGAGATGTACAGCAAAACAGCAGAAACCCGTGCCTCATCCCCTCCCCCATTCGCCTTTTTTTTTCTCCCTTGAAAAAAATTTTTAAATAATTTATTTCTTTTTGTATATACATTCAATCACATTGTTTAGCTTACAATGTGAGCATTTCAATATGTGAACATTTCTCAAAATATCTTCAACTGATAACACCACACTTCCCCATCCCATCAATGTTCTACCTCCACTCACCTTTTGACTACAAGTTTGTTTCTTGGGACTTTGAGAATAATTAGTGCTCCTATCCATCCCATCTGGATACCTATTCAAGAGAAGGTACTTACCAGGTGTCAGACTGCCTGTGGCTGAAGAGCCAAATGACTAGGTCCCATGACTCACCTGCACTCCCATTCTCCTTGAACTCTCGGGACTTCTGTGTTTTGGATAGTGAGCTTCATACCACAAGATCTGTTCATTACTGAGTTGATGCTCAGCAGCTCAATTTCAGACACACCTGTTCTTTAGAAACGGAGGGCTTTGGGTCACCCAAGAGCAGTGACAACACTGCAGGGTGCTGATGAGCAACAGAAAAACAGAGCAGAAGACAGATCGCTAATTTCCTAGTCCTGCACGCCTTTGACTTATCAGAGATGCCTTGGAAAATTCAGAAAGAAACATATGGATCACCAGATGACAAGGAACAACCACAAAATCACAAGAAATATGAGCAACCACCAAAATGTCTCTTCCACAAAGGAAGACATCAATTCTGCATCACCCACAGACAACACAATCAAAGTCATGAAAGTGTCAGATAAGAAATTCAGAATATTTTTAAAGACCAAACAAAATAAGATGCAAGAGAAATGAAAAAAAAAAAAAAAAAAAAAGCTCCAGGAGATGAGAAAGTCCTTCAACGACTTGAAAGAAAAAATAGACACCATAAAAAAGAATCAAATGGAATTGTTAGGGATGAAGAATGTGATATAGGAAGTTAAACCCTCCCTAGAAAGCATTAAAACTAGGTTACATCATACAAAAGAACACATCTTGAATGCTGAAGACAAAATCTCTGATATGGAAAAAATTACCAAGACAGCTGAGAAAACAACCAAGGAAAATGAGGAGAATATATGAGAAATACTACATACTATCAAGTGCCCAAATATATGGATAATTGTATCCCAGAAGAGGAAGAAAATTATAGGTGTATTTATAATTTATCCCATGAAATCCTGGAGGAAATCTTTCCAAACAGAGAGACATTCAAATATCCAGATCCAAGACATACATAGGACACCAAGAAGAATCAACCCAAGATCCTCCTCAAGGCACAGCTTAGCCAGAAAGGCCAAAACCACCATCAAAGACAAGACACTAAAATTGGCACAAGGGAAATGTCAAGTTACTTACAAAAATTATGCCATCAGGCTAACATTGAACCTCTCATAGGAAACAATGCAGGCAAGAAAAGCATGGGAAAATAGAGTCAAAGTATAAAATTAAAACCAATTTCAACCAAGAATACTATACCCAGCAAGATTATCCTTCATATGGGAAAAAAAGGATAAAAATATTCTCAGATAAACAAAACTTGAAAGAATTTACCAACTCCAGACCAAGTCTTCAAGAAGTTCTGAAGGGAAAGCTATACCAGGAAAAATAAAAAGTCAGACAGATATAAGAGAACAATAAACCAAAAAAATGGCTCACTTAATGATAGGAACATGTCTGGAAATGCCAATAGCAACATTGAATGCTAATGGATTAAATTTTCCAATCAAGAGACACACATGAGCTGAATGGATAAAAACACAGAAACTCTCTATCTGTTGCCTACAAGAAACACACCTTAGGGACAAAGACATACATAGACTAAAAGTGAAAGGATGGAAAAAGATATTCCATGCAAATGGAAATAAAAAATGGCCTGCAGTGGAAATACTGATTTCAAACAATATAGACTTCAAGACAAAGACAGTTGGAAGAGACAAAAGAGGGCAGTATATAATAGTAAATGGGCAAACTCATCAAGAAAATATAATGCTTATAAATATCTATGCACCCAACTTAGGAGCACCTAAATACATGAAGGAAGGACT